CCGCCCCCGCGCCCCGGCCGTGCCACACACCCAGAGGCCGTGGCCACAAACCACTTTGCAGTCAAATGGTGCTTGTCCTTAAATCAAACTCAGTCCTAAGGTTGTCATGCTTATTATACTGCCTAAATACCACCTCACGGGCCTCTGAGGCGAGTGGGGAGCAAAGGGGGTTTTATACAGCATATATCTCTTATTCAGGCCTTGTGTACAAAGCTGAATTTAATCCATGGTAAACAGACTGTTACATTCTAGTCTTTGGAAGCAAAGCTGACACTACTAATTTTTCAATAAATTAAGGCCTGCAAGATAGTGTAGCTTAACAGTATAAGGGCAAAAATAAGATCCTCATTTGAAAAATTAATAAAATCTGTCTGACAGCATAAATGTTAACATTTCAGCAAAGGCTACATCATTTATGTGAAAACGTTTCTGCTCTGATCTCACAGATGATAGAGGCACTGTCAGCGGTAATGAGACCGTTACTACATGGGTAATTAACTTGTAATTCCTTGCAGAAACAGCAAACAGTTGCACTGCTAGAAATGTGTGGAAATGACACCAGGTTTAATTGGAAAAGGAGGAAAAAGCTGAGCTGTGTCAAGATCCAATAGATGTTTCCCCGTGTGCTGTCCCCTGAGCTCAAGACATATGTCATGCAATGTTCTCAAACGTGCTTAAAGGCAAGGCTGGCTCAGTAGCATGTTCACAAGCAGAAGATTATGTATGCTGGACAACTGTGGGTTTGAGTGGATGCATAAAGCTCAAGTGCTACAGTAATCACAATAATCAGTGGTAATGTACAGCCTGGTTTTTGTCAGGTGAAACACTACTGAGTGCAGACTGAAAGGATACGTTCCTGTGAAAACCCTCCCTAGCTGGGCTGTTGGCCACTTTCTTCACTACAAGTAGCTTTCCAGCAGTCTAGCATACACATACAGGGTGGGCGTGTATATGTATGTATCATAAGTGTATAAAACATTATGATTTCTGATTTTTTTTCTAAATTCTGGGGTTTTAATATTTTTTTCTAGAATCTGATCTTGATTCCAATGCAACCCCATAGTAAAGCTTCTGCTAATTTAATGGAGAGAAGGACTTTGCCATTAAACTTTTGCAAAGAACAGAACAGATACTTCCATTTAAATATGCAGAAATGTGGTAAGTATGCATCCAGCCGTTTAAGTTAGTTTGTGCAGAGTGCATGTGTTGTGTATCCCACGCACGATACTCTGCCTAGCACCACAGCCTTGGAAATCACGCCTAGAGTCAATGACGGCACTCTGCTGGGTTTATTAATACCAGCTCAGAAAGTGAGAGGGTGCTCTGGCTTTAGCAGGGGGTCTGTATAATTGTTCCAAGTACTTCAGATCCAGGAATCAACCTTCAGAGTCTTTTCTCAGCATATGACATTCATCCTGGTGACACTCAAGTAGCACGCTGCTGAAGGACAGCTGGGGCACGTCTATATTTGTTCCATTGCTCATTGCTGGCGTGTCCCCTGAGCAAAGAGGCGGTCTAGGGTTACGGTAATAAGTCTTCCAACTGCAGTCATAGGAAAGTGGCAGGGAATTGCTTTTGTGTGAATTAATTTTTACTAGGGGAAATAAATATGAAGTTTGATGCCATCTGAGCTATCAGAAGAATTTATGACGTCTTAAGATAGAAGGCAAGTTTTTAGGTAGTAACATTCTTTGTTATATATTTTCGATAATTGATGGTCACGGACTTAAACATTCTTCACTGTAATAGTATCTGTGCCTGTAAACTGAGCAAACACTGAGCAATCATCTGAAAATCTTATCTAGGCAGCAGGGTTCCAGACAAGCTTAATTATGTTGATTTTAATTTATGTAATTTAATTTCATTTTGGTAGGAAAAATACTTGTTAATTCAGTTTTCTAGTTAGTAGTAGCTTCTAAAGCAAGACTTACTGCTATAATTATGGGGAAAAAAGTCTTTGTGGGAGCCAGACAACTTTTCCTGGTATGTGCCAAGACCTTTTCTCTGTTTAATATGTTAAAATTTGCATGATTTATTTTATTCCCTTTAGCATAAATAGTATTTCTGCCTAACTTGAGTATTTTTTGTATATAGTAAGACATTGGTGGTTGTAGAATCCACACCCATGTCTGCAGTGCCAGAAGACAAACAGTGAACTTCTGTGTGTGTTTTCTTGCAGATCTGGTAGGCTGGACTCTTTTCAGTCATTGATATAAAACTGGAGAGTTGGAAGTTTCTTAGCATTTTTCACTGGTTCAGGAAGTTGCTTTCTAATAAGTTACTGACTGTGTTGACTTTGTTACCTAAGTAATCCTCAGGAATATTAGTAAAATATTGATGAAATAAATTTGAAGTGATAGGAAGTACTCAAAACTATGAAGACCATAAAAAGTAGTTTGAAAGCAAAGCTTATGTGAAAGCTTCTGCAGAAGTTCTGATAACCTTGGTGTCTGACTGACCTTTTGGCTTTTTTCTGCAATTAAGTGATTTTAAAGCTTTCATATGCTTCACTGAGCTAGGACTAGATGTAGCTATAGGTTCATTAATACTCAGCTGAAATTTTTCCATGAACTCTTTTGATTGTAGTAGTAAACTGCTGAGAAAATTGGCCTGAGTAGTTTTGTAGCCGTGATTTTGTTAGTGCTGGTGAGCAGTGGATGGCTGCAGGGACATTGCAGCTCTGACAGAGCATCATGTGGTCTCTCTGTACTAGCATCGTTTCATGTGCTGTTAATACGGGCTGGCTGGAAAGAGAGGGCTTGGGACGGCAAAGAGTGGGCTTGGGAAGTCAGCGTTAAGATTGCGCTTGCACCTTTAATGTTGTCCCACATGCATCTGCTTTATCATACAGCTTTGCATTTCACATACATGTGCTTTTTTCACACCTCCCACATTGCACAGAATGGACAGTGTGCAAGCTCCACGTCAGAGCAGACTTCTCTCAGTTCAGGAGTCAATGACCTGCCTTGCTTCCTAGTTACTGTATGCTTTGTCATGGGGATCATCATTGATCTTTTTTCTGAGCTTCATTTATGTTAAAATATATATTTTCACAGCACCTGAGACCCCCCAAAGGGCAGTATTTTCCCTGTTTTATAGAAAGGACCTGACACCTGGACTGAGAATAATGTTAAAAGAAACCTCAAGTTTCAGTATCAAGAATGGCAACTTGAAAAATCCAGAACAGGATTTTTCAGGGCATTTACTAGTCTGTTATATGGCATCAGTGGTCACAAGAGAGGGCATCCTACAGTATGCCTGACTGACAGTTCAGAAAGAGCGCTTGACAGCAGCTGAAGGGTGAGCAGACTTCAAACCAGGCCATCTCCAATTGCACAGAGCAGCACTAAGTGCACCTGAAGCACAGTTGCAGTGTTGAGCTGAGGACAGGACTACTCCACAGTCTGGAAATCCGACATCAGGGTCACAGACGAGCCACTCAGAAAACATAGGATGCACAGCAGAGATAGCTCTCTGCTGTGCTCTGCACAGAGGCGAGAAAAAACAAGCTTCCTGTGGCTTCACTTCAGAAGCTTCACTTAGGAAGTGAAGCTACTGTCTTTGGTCTTTCCCATGCCTACCTCAAGGCCCTGAACAGTCCTCAGCCAAACCTATTCCATCTATATATTTTTAAGCAAGAAAAACTCATTCTTGATATCTAAGTATGTAGCTAAGGATCTTTCTTATCTTTTACAGGTTTGAGACTCATCATCTCAAAAGCCTCCCTGAGGATACCAATGTCATCCAGATCCGGCAGCACAAGAGAGTATGAAACTAATGACCAGTCGCTGGGTCGTTCAGCTTCCCCACCAGTCCCGGAGTCTAGTGAGACTGAGGCTGAAGGCTTGATATTTTATCACATGGATCTTTATGGATCAAAGGAGAGGTTTGATATCTTTCCTGAAGAGCCATCTGGTCAAGGAGACAGATCTCTGGGGGATACCAGAAGGGAATCTGCATTGAGTAGCAAAAAATTTCAGCACTCACAAGAAACTGGATATGACTTGGAAAAGGAGGTTGCAGAGTTGGCTAAGATGTATGGACTTGATGAGGATAGAGAAAAAGAGCTAGAGCTTCTTGGAGGACATCTGGAGATGGTGGAGAGCAGATGGCCACCTGCTCCCACAGAAAAAGCAGGATCACAAGGCTCCGTATATAACGCATCAAAAAGCAGCTCTCCAGTGAAAGATCAAAGTCAAAGCACAACGCAACAGGGACTTCCTAGCAAGGCTTCTCAAGATGAAGATCAGAGCAAAGCCAAAGCAGAGGATGAGGCTGAGAGCCACACGTGGTCCAGAGAGGGGCTTAGCAGTGGTGGCCTGTCGGATGAGTGGAGCAGTCAGGCTGTCAGTGAGGAGGAGGAAGCGGCAGATGTTTTTTGCTCTACCTGCAAGATGCCAATCCGAGCTTTTGACAAACTGTTTGGTGAACACAAGGATCACGAGGTGGCTCAGCTCCCCAGTGCTGTGGAAAGTGAAAAGGTAAGAGTAATACAAGTACTGCAGTGCCTCAAAACCAGTGTTCAGACATACTAAGAATCACACTGGATGTTTTGGTAGGAGGAGATTCATAAAAATATGTGCAAGTTGGAAGAACAGATTGCTCAGATGGAAAACTTTGCCAGTCACTTGGAGGAAATCTTCATCACTGTAGAGGTAAGGCATTTTTTCTTGGGCTAACTTTGTGGTACTGGGGTTAGAACAGTTTTGACAGTCATAGCATTCAATTTTTAATGAGGTGAGTAATTATGGTAATAGAGCACAGAATTATCTTGGGGTTTGCCTAGACTGAGGTACGCAGGAAAATTCATCCTAATGCTAATTAAGCATTTGCACAAGACACTTGCATTCAGAAATAAAGTGACGCCCACTCAGGTTATCTTAGTTTTAAATGGCCAAAGACCTGTGATCTAACTAGTCCGTCCCGAGTGTACCCCTTGTGTTCACTCGGTTTCATTCACAGAAGTGCCGGACACAGGCAAGCCCTTGGACCAGCTGCATCGAGCTACAGCACTTCAAGGGTTGTGCTCCTACTCGCCTGATGTAGGGTGAAGGGGCCCAGCTGGCAGCAAGTCAAACTGAAGCAGTAGCTCAAGGCACCTACTGTCTTTTCTCTGCTGCATGTGGCACAGAAGGACATCGGTGCCTGAGCAGTGGGCAGCTGGCAATAAAGCCTTGCCTGCTCCTTAAATCTTCCTTCCTAATGCTATCTCCAGCAGTGAGTGAGGATACCAGCATTAGCTGCTCAGCTCCCTCAGCATGAATCCATGGATCCCACTGGGTTGCCATGGTTTCTCTCATGGAAGGATGTGCTTGTCTGTGTTGGTGGAAACACTTGTGAGATTATGGCCAGGATATATCCCTAGCTGTGCTCCCTGGGCTTGGGATGGAGAGAGGTGACTTGCATAATTGGTTTTATTATAATTTCTGATGCTCTTATTATGCCCAGAACCAGATCCAACACTCTCTTGTGCCTCAGTGGGGGTGAATGATTAGAATAAACCCCTAAAAAATGCAAATTAGTCATATTACAGCTTCTGTGTACTGGCATTGCCTCCCTGGCAAGGAGAATTTTAGGCAGACCTGAGTAAGATTTTTCTCTGGCTGAGCTATGGATCAGGCCTGACACCAAGGAACAAACCCCCAAATGCCTTGCAGGAAAACTTTGGGAGGCAGGAGCAGAACTTCGAGGTGCATTACAACGATGCAGTGCAAGTGCTTGCTCAGAAGTACGAAGAACAGTTGGAAGCACTGGGGGAAGAGAAGAGGCAGAAGCTGGAAGCTTTATATGGGCAGCTGGTCAGTTGTGGGAAACATCTCGACACCTGCAAGGAGCTGACAGACGCAACCCAGAGGCTTTACCTGGAAAATGACAAAGCCAATTTTATGAAGGTAAAGAGCTTTAACTGGCAAGGCCCCTTCTAAATGCTCTTTGCTGCTTGCGGGTAGTCCCCAGCTGGGAAGTCCCAAGTGGCTTTATTTCTAGAGAGCATTTGGGGTGCTCAGTCCATGGTGCTGTCACTGCTCCAGGTGCTTGCCATGATGGCATTGACAGTGGGGCAACACAATGGGGCCAAAATGCACAAGCAGCAGCAGGAATTTGTAACTTGGATGCTCAATGATTTATAAGTCTCACTGGGGTTCAGAGAGAAGATATCTCTCTAAAAAGCTTATCTTGGGAAACTCTAGAAGCATTTAGTGTTTACTACCTCATGCAGGCTCAGCTCTCTTGCTCTATTCTGGGCTCACAGCAGGCAGGCTGATGCAACCGCTCTGGAAGATGTTTCTTTTTCTTGCTCATTTTGTTGGAAAGCTCAGCTGAACAGGAGGCTCCAAACTAAATACAGCAGGAGCTCCTGCAAAGTGATGGATGAATCCCACTGTTGAGGAGGTGTCAAGAAGTTATTTTTCTCTAGCAGGTAGAAACATTGGAAAAAAAAGTGGATTTTCACTGCTGATTAGTGATTGCTCTAATCTGAGTTGTCGCTGTCCTGTGACTCAGGTGGGTGGGAGCATTTCTATAGTACAGCCACAGTAACTTCTGAACCAGACAGTAAGCAAATCTCCTAACACCTCCAGTCTGCTCCAGTGGATCAGCTTGCTGTGTCACTCCAACCTGCAGAGTTCTTCGCATGAGCTGACTTTTCCCATTCCTCTACCTCTCTGGAATAACCTTAATTTATCCTTAGCTCATAAAGTTTTACATCACCCCTAGGATCCATTTTTCACCAAGTGAATAGTTGTTGGTCATGAGCTCTCAGCTGCTTAGGTTTCTCCAGGGACGGGGTGTCCATGTTCCAGTAATGTGCACTGGTCGGACTCCCTCCAATGCAGATAATTTCACGAAGTATTTTTTCCCCAGCTGTTGTTGGGTTTTGTTTGTGAAGGATCTATTGGCACTTGAGGAAGGATACAGTCCAGAGTCTATATGGGTAGACACTGGTCACTGCCTGATACTGCACGTCATCTTACTGTAAATTCAGCCAAGATCTGTCCATTTGAATGGACAGTTAGGCACAGCTTTGTTCTTAGAGCTGACTGAAAGCCCGTTAGCCCACTCTAAGGGCTGTATTTGGGACAATTCATGTAAGATAGGTCAACAGCATGATGTAGACTAATGCAAGAAATGTATCTTTTCTGTCTTTAACACTCTGTCTCTTTTTTTCTACAGGCAGCAGTAACCATGGTTGACAGGTAGTATCACAGTCTGGGATTTTGTGTCACATTCCTTCCTGCTAATTTGGCCCATTATTGGAGACATTTGCACGGTCTGGACTCTGTTCAGGCACACAAATGTTATCTAAACTGCTAGATCTATTGAAATCTTTAGTATTTCTTGTTCAAACTGCAGCAGACAAAGTTGCTCTAAGAAGTTTAACACTCAAAACTCTCCAAAGGGAGAGTTAGAGCATGAATAAATCACTGTTTTCAGCTTAGTCATAAGGAACTAATTTCAGTGACTGAGAAACAGGATTGTTAAAGATCTTGAAAGAAGCGCTCTGGACACAAATCTGCCTAAAACTGAGCTCTCTAAATAGATTAGTAACAGGCTTATTTATGCATTAGTATAGAGGGGTAGAAAGTCAAGCTGTGGGAGCTCAAAACAGATACTGAAAGATCTTGGAGCAGTTGGAAGAAATATTAAGGCACACTAAATCAATTGCAAAAAATATACATTTAAACTGACTCTCATCATTTATGAAAACAGAGAAAAGATACCCCTTTGTTTCAAATTTACAACACCATGAGGTCCTGAATTAGTAATAGTGTCATAAATTCTAAATAATGAAAGTCGTGGAGCTAACAGCTTGCTTCCCACAGAAGGGTGCTGGGGAAATCTCGCTCACCTGCTCAGTGGGAGGGCAGTGTGCTGCAGCCAGCTCGCTGCGTGAGTAGGGCACACAAAGCACGGTCCCTCAGGCCCATCAGCATCCAGCTCTGTTTGGCGTCTTGGAGCACTGATCTGATGTATGCTCGTGTATCTCCAAGCAAAGGGCATGGGGAGGCTGAACCTTGTACAAATATGAAAACATTATTTTAAAGAAATAGCTGATATTTTAGAGTTTGATATTCTTTTCCTTTTACTAATAGGTATTATAGAAAGGTATCTCCAACACTATGATACTTCCAATTAGAATTTTTTTTCCCCCTACAATTACAGGCTGGAAGAATTCTTAAAGAAAGAAGTGGATTTAGAGCTTTCAACACTGCCAGACTTTGAAGAGCGGGTCATAGATTTCTCTGAAGTTGAACAACTAATGAACTCCATTAATACTATTCCAGGTACTCTTCCTATCTGATAATTATTTCAGACCTATTTACATTTAATTAAGGATATGTATTAAAATGAAGTCCATTACTTCTTTTAAAGGAGAACTGCAAAGGCAGAATTAGCTTCTCCCTAGTTTTCCCTCTAGATTTCTTTCTTTGCCTATATATAGAGACACAGGAAGCTATTTTTGGATTTTTTTTTTTCATTTGTTTTCAGTATAAAATTACCAGAACTGCCAGGTTGGTCTTCCCTGCTTTTGCTGGATGATTGCCTAGAAGACTCACAAAGACTTCCCCCTTCTGTTGAGGGGTCAGGCATGCTTAGTTGGTGATAACTTGTCTTACCTTGTAGTTGCTTGAACAAAGTAGAGAGGGACACCGGACTGCTTTAAACAACCTGCACAGCTTCCCTCGATAACCAGATTTCAGTGGCTTGTTCCTGTGCTTTTTAGCAAACATTTTTCTTATTATCCTCAGGAAACAGAGCAAAACCCAAACAAATTTATAATAATTTTAAAAATAAAAATACAAAATATTTTAAATCTTTTCTGGCACACCATGAATAGTCAGAAAGAACAATATGCGTTTTTTAATGCCCATACATTGTGTTTTCTTAAAGTAAAATAGCATTTGCTACTTGTTTGCTTGTGCTGCTGACCCCATGTTGGACAGCTTTTCCCTCATCTTTCCTCCAGAGACTCCTCAGTCCCTGGGCTGGTCTGCAGCTGTGCGGTGCGTGTCAGACGTTGCTCCTGCAGGGCCATTCTAGCTCGCTGGGGAGCAGCAGCCCTCAGAGGCAGGGGAGGTCAAGATTACAGAGAAGGGTTAGGCTGAGGCTTATGTATTTTGTTGTTTTGATTTTGATTTGAAGCAAGACTAGTTCATACACCAGTGACCTGATTATTATCTGCAACTATTTACAGGGTCAGCTCCTAACTTTTGTGTGTGTGGAAGGAATATGACTCTAGTCAATGCCTAGGCTTTGTGTAAACTCCTTTGTGAGAGGTGTTTGCCTGTGCACAACATACCATGCTTATACATTCAAAAACTGACCGGTTTTCCCCCCTGCAGCTCCTTGTGCCCCTGTGATCAATCCCCAGACTCCCAATGCAGCGACTGGCACCTCACTGAGAGTTTGCTGGGGCCTCTTCTCAGATGACACTGTTGAGTGCTACCAACTGTGCTATAAAGCAGTGAGCAATGAGAGGCACAGTGATGAACAAGCAGGTAAGGAGGCCTGGACCCAAGGGGACACCTCAGCCCCCCACTGGCAAAACCAGCTAGTTCCAAAGTGCCTCTGGACTTGCTGTGGCAACTAGTGCACCTTCTGTGCACTCTGCCACCAAAACTGTCTTATCTGCCACCACATTTCCTGCTTCTGGCTTTGTCGCTCTTCTCCTGCCAGGTCTGCCAAGCTGCCGGCTGCAGCAGGACCCATCGCAGGAGCAAAGACAGGACGGGGCAGCAGCTGGGATAGCAGGAGTGGGAAGGGGACAGTGGATGGTGTCAGGTCTCAACAGTAGCATTCCCTTTCCTGGGGGGTGGGCACTGTGTTAGACACGCATGCGCTGCATGCGCTGCAAGGCACAGTATTTTTAGAGAGTAAATCATCATATTATTGGCACGCCCACTGAAACCCCCACAGTCATCTTACAGTTCATCTCAGTGCTAATAATAGGCTGTAACTCCCCATCACCCACACACACAAAAACGAACCACAGAACCATCCTAAAATGTCCCAGCCTTGTGACAAAACTGCCTTTGCTAATAATATTCTTGCAGAACCTTTTCCTGAAAACACCCAGTAAAAAAAACTGAAAACTTCTCCAGCAAAAGTGGAAGCCAGTAGTTCCCAATGGCCAGTTCAGAAAGAAAAGCAGAACTTGTCCAAATTTTATAAGATTAAGAATGAGAAATGAGGAGCGAAATAGCTTCAGCTCTTGTCCCACTGCTGGGATGAGCTGATCCGACAGCATCCCCAGAGTGGGAATGTGCAGGCAATGTGCATTAGAAAAAGATTCAGTGACAGGTGGGTGACCTTTCTTTCTGGTTTTTGCATTTGTTTTTTTTTTTCTCAGTGATGTGGCTCCTTCAGAAGGTGATGTGTTATCTGATTTATGCCTCCTTAGAGGAAGGCATGATGAAACAGCCTGACAGCTAATCAAAGGGTATGGAGCACAAGGAGCTCTCTTGAACTCAGCACAGAAAACAATGCACCTCAACTCCATTATTTGAGGCAGCTTTGGGTAAGGGTGGGTAAGTGTGTAAAGGCACTGTAAATGCTTTGTTGTTTTCATTTCAGAGCATACGCTAAAAGTCAAAGAAACGTACTGCACCATTACTAATCTGTTGCCGAATACACAGTATGAATTTTGGGTTAGTGCTTTAAATGCCTCTGGTACCAGTCCACCAAGTGAAAGAGCAGTTTATGTAACAGGTAAAAATATTTTATTCATAAGACTGTGTGACCATCATAGTGAAATTCATAGTCATCTCTGAATTTTATGCCAGTAATGCATTGGGCACTTTGTTTCTTCTGATATAAGTCTACTGACTGCAGTGGAATTTCCTACTTTTATTTGGAGAGCCTATCAGGCCAATTGTCCCTGTTTTAGCATTGAAGAAATAGAAGCACAGAGACAAAATCACTTATTTAAATGCAAGCGTGTAGGAGAGCTGGGAATAAGGCTCAAGTCTCCCAGTTCTGCCAGGTGGATGACAGCCCTGCTTTTATTGGCCTGCATGTATTTTGTGGATTCACCTGCTGTGCTACCCTTTGTAACTGCAGTTCAGTCAAGCACATTTTGATTAGTGTGCCTTGTCTTCAGGAATTCTTCCCAATAGCTGAACTGCAACAAGATTAATTACAGACCCTCGTTCTCTTTTGTGAAATCCCGACATCAAATTGAGCAAGTCAGTGAGACCTTCAAGCACTCGTTCCAGATGTCTTTGACATCTTAGAGCAGAGAAGAGATGCACCTTTATGACAAAGATAAAAACAATGACAGAAAGGGCTTGTGTACTCAGTCTATCTATGTTACTTCTCTGATTAATTCTCTTGGGACCTTTATAGTCCAAATTAAGTCTTTGAATAGTACTGTTAATCACCCTGCCTGCTGTTTATTGTCCACTGGGGAAGCAGGTTTCTTAACTATACAGTATTAGTAAACAACTTTGTTCTATCTTTTATGTCTTCAAAGCATGTTTGTTGCAAACATCCTCAAGCAACAGCTTAGAATTGTTCTTTTGCCTACTTTTTAGCTCCTTCACCACCTACCATAAAGAGTAAAAAGATCCGAAGCTGTGAAAATGCAGCACTTGTGTGCTGGGAATCTAGAGATATTAACCCTGTTGATTCCTACATGGTTGAGTTGTCCAAGCTGACAGATGAAGATGATGGCGATATTATTACTGAGTGAGTCACTATTCTATCAAGTCCGTGACCTGTAGAGATGAAACCATTTCAAGTCACGTGGCATGAGGTAGCACTAAGAAAGGACTCATGACCCTTTGGTGAATTCACCTTTGTAAACATTCCTGTTAGTAAAATTAATTGTATAAATGTAATAAAAAATGACTACACAGGGTATGGGAGAAGCACAGAAGCAAATGTAAAAATCTGCAGAGCCTGCCACAGACTCTTACCCCTGCTACTGACACTTGTAGAAGGTAAAGTGGTGTTGATGGGTTACAAGAGGAGCTGATCATATAATTTCTTCTTTGTTGTTCAGAAAAGTAATCTCAAAGGCTTACCTTTGTTCTCTACCCTATCATTTTCCATGGATTTATTTTCTGTAGATCTATTGTTGGGATTCCTAACTGCGAAGTCCTAATTCACCTCCAGCCAGCACAAAGCTATCGCATCTGTGTTAGAGCCCTAAACCTGGGTGGTTCCAGCGAAAGAAGTGAACCTGTCCTGATACACACCACAGGTACTGTACAGCTCGGATCAACTCCAGCAGCCTATTGTAGTATCTGTTATCTCAACAGAA